GATCTTTAATCGATTTAAAACGATCCTGTTGTTGACAGGCTTTGTGTTTTTTCTCATGTCTACTTCGGACCACTTTGAGATATGGATATTATTTGTATTTTAAAATTATAATGACCAAAATGTATTATTATTTCATCTTGTCAATATTTCATAACAAGCAGCTGGGTAAACAAAGTTATTTCTGTAAATGTTAAATGTGGAACTACTCTATTTCATTCTACAAAACCTTCTTAGTGACATTCCGATTTCTTTTGATTTCCTTAAATATTGAAAATAATGGTATGCTTTTTCTAAGATTGTGTATTCGTTTATTATCCCATAATTTAAAAAATATATATTTTTTTTTCATTATTTTTTACTTTTACTCATACAAATTTTGTTAAAAACAATTTACGATAAATGTCATTAATTTTATTCTATGATCATTAAAAGATACGAACTGCATCTAACAAATTATGTCATAAATGTTTGATAATGTAGGTTATGTAAGAATTGTAAACATTTATCTATAGACGTATATTTGTGTTTGAATAGAATCAAAAGTTTTATACTTTTATCCACCATTTCTAAGGAATAATCGGAATAAGAATAATTTATTTTTCCTACGACCACTTAGGAAAGTGACACATATCACACTATATAGTCCTATGGAAAGTGCCCTATATCACACGTGTATGAATAAGAATTTACTTTTCACCCTTGTACGAATATGCTACTTTCCGCAGTAGCTGTCAGAAAATGTCAAACACAATTTCTATTTTGATCTATGTAATGTCCATATTAATACTAAAATCGATATGATTGTTAAATTATTGAAATTGTTGTAAATTAGATCCTAGATATGTATCTTTAACAATTATTATTAAAATAATTTTAAAATAATGTTTGCTCTTTATTCTGGTTAAATACATAACCGATTAGATTATTCAATTGACACAAGGGCTATTAGCTCAGTTGGTTAAAACGTCGAACTTATCAACTTTGCCACTTGAGACTTAGCGAGCGACCGCGTTCAAACCCTGGCGGAGCCAGAATTTTTTTGTTTTTTTTTATTTTTTTTTAGTATTTTTTTTTTTTTTGTTTAGAAAATATGAAAATTGAATAAATACGATTATTGTTGATTATTTTTTTAAATACATTTTAATTATTATAGTAATAATAACCTGGTTTTACATTTTTTGATGACATTATTTTGTGGTCGTAAGAAAAATATTGTACATCACTTGTGTGAAAAGTAATTTTCCACACTCGTGTGATAGTCGCACTCGGCTTGTGCCTCGTGCGACAATATTTCTCACTCGTGTGAAAAATGTCACTTTTCACACTCGTAATGTACTATTACACTTTTTAACTAGATTTCAAAAAAGGAGGAGGTTCTCAGTTTGTCTGAATATATTTTTTATGTATATGTTCAGCGTTAATTACCATATCTTTCGATTTATATTAAATCTTTTTTGTTAGAAAGGAGGTACCTCCGGGGTGATCATCAAACTCTTCATTTTTGAAGTTGGTCATTTAAAATTAATTTGTAATCAATCGTTTCATTATGTTTCAGATACAGAAAGTATGTTTTTGTAGTCTTAGAAATGTGTAGTATGAGGCGAGAAAGAAGCTTACGTTGACAATTTAGGAAAGTACATTTTTTCTATTAAAGTAGAAGTCGAAAATATAATTCCCAATTTCACAATTTCGGTGAGATCATAATTTTTAGCATTGCCATTGGTAGCAACGGTGTATTATACACCAATGACTAGTTTAAAAAGTAAAAGAAGTTCTTTTGTTGCTTTTAAAAGAAAGTGTCAGTACCTAATTTTATTTTCTTAGGAAAATGTTCATATATGTGTATAGTAGACATGGAATTTCGTTAGAATCGGGAGATATTAATTTATTAATATTTATTTAAATATCTAAATGAAACCATAAAACAATGTAGAAAATTTTGGTTGCAGTAAATCACGTGCAAACTTGTATTACATTTAGATAGTTCATGTTAACTTACTTAATTTTACTAGGAATAACCAAATAATTTTATTTGAGCAAAGATTAAATATGACATATTATGTTTCTAAGTACAACTTCTTCATCAGGTGTATCATGTTTATTCTTTATTTTAATAATAGCTATTCATTTAACCAGTTTCAAAATGCCTTATTTTATGTTACGAGTAAATCTTTGATAAACGAGCAGAGCGAGATCCTCCAAAATGAACGAGTGAGACAAAACGCCTCTCGTAACCTGATACATAGAATTTTTTCTTCTTCTTATTTTGACTTGTGTTTGGTAAGAAAATACTAACATCTATGCAACCAATATTACTTTCGTCGAAAAAATCAAAAATACTATTAGGTATCTAATTCGTTAATCTATAATGGTGGTTCTCATCATCTATTCCAATCTTCTTACTGATAAGAAATATTAAATAAGTACATTTAAAGTATATTTAAATTGACCCAATTATAATAGGGTTCCAACATTAGCAATGGTATTTCTCCGAATTTTACTTAATGTTCTAACGAGTGTACCTATGAAAGCAAGTAACGTTAACTTTGAGTAGATCTTCACTACAAACAATGCTTTTACTTCTTAACCACTCAATGATCTGGTTTATTCCAAATACGAAGTTGGATTTTTTCCATTTTTAGTGAGTGATAACGGATTGTTCCACATTCGCCACGTGTCGTTTTGCCACGGCAATAAAAAAGTGCTGTTTCGCCACGCATAATTTGCATATTTTCTAACAAGTGCTCTTTTGCCATGCATGTTATTTTGTTTACCTGTCTAGATTGAAAAATATACTTTTACCTTCGACAATATCAGAAGAAAATTGTTTCAAAGAAGTTAAATAACCACAACACTTTCGGCATGTACATCTCCAGGTTATAGACCCATCTTTATTACTTCGTAAATGGTTATAATTATAACCTAAGTAGGTGAGTTTTGGACGACCTCTTTTTGTTTCAAGAAACTCTCAAGAAACTCGGTAATCAATGATTATCCATTAGGATTACTGACCCTTTTGGAATAGATTTTATCATTTACTCAAAATACTCTTCGTTTTTTATGCAAATATAAGGCTGCCTTTATTCAAAAAGCCTCTGTCACAACAATTAATCGTTGTCCTTTACCTAACAGACGATAATTTTTCTAAGAAAGTGAGGTTTGAATATTATTTTGGCACATTTTGGATACTGTGTGTCTTTCATTTACCCATGCTTCATCTAAATAAAAAATATGTATTTCCTCTAAACGATATTCCTTTATGGTTCCAAGATATTTTCTTCTCCAACAAATAATTTCGTCGATTTTATATCTTTTTTTGAACCATGTGAAATTTAATTCTTTAAGAATATGCCAGAAGGAAAATGTCTAGCAAATCGAAATCTTCTGTTATAGAATTATAAAAATTTGCTAACGTTGGAATTTCCTTTTTAAATAAAATTTATATACCTTATGTCTAATTATTGTTCTTTTCATTTTTTTTTATTAGTTCTTTTGGTTGAAGTCGGGACTCCCGACTTTTGCTCACGTAGAATTCCGTATATAGCAGATGTTCCCACATCTGCCATTGTCTTTAGACGTCACTTTTCACTCTTCCAGATGAAAGCTCGCTCCTGAAGTAGTCATACACGTTTTTTATAATAGTTTTCTCATTTAGCGATTTTTCATTTGTTTCACAGGACTAAACGCTACTATTTTCCTTTTTTTTTCTAGTTACTACTTCATGTATAAATTGTTTTTGTTTATAAATTTTGTTCTTGTTTATTTGCTCTAATTAATCCAATTTTTTGAAAAATCCCCATTTGTAATATTTAGGTTGGGGAGCGATGTTTGTTATCGATTATACTATTTGAAATGCAATGATTTCAGGCCGTCTGAGTCAATTAAAATGATTTTGTAACATTATATTTCTAGAAATTACTCAAAAATGTCATGTGAAATGTCAATAAGTTATAAAAACTTACAAAGGATTGCCTACTGTTTAATTTTATAAACAATTGTATAAGCTGATATGAAACAGACATTATTCTTTGATCTGTGTTAGGGGTCGGGGAGCGATGTTTGATACAGACTCTGGTATTTCATCACAAAATTCTATTATTTTTATTTAAATAAACAAATTTTAAAAGTATAATAATTTACGAGTTTACAAATTAGTTATATCTACCTACATATTAAAATACTTGGCAACCCTGTACACATGTCAAAATATTTCTCGCTTATACGTGGATAATCTCCAATTTTTTTTTTTAATTTTCATGATAACTTCTCTACTTTCTAATAGTATAAAAATTATTTTGAAATTCGTGTGTCTTTTAAGTCGAAAGTAACCGATATTCTGATATTTTATGTTTATTTAGAAAACTTGTTAATCTGGTATTTATAAGCTTTTCAAACATTTTCGCAATATTGAAAATTGAAGCGATAGGTCTATGTTCATGTCACTTTTCCCTTTTCTCTCAGTTTTTAAAAACTGGTGCAACGACTGATACTTTAAAAAAAGAAGGAAATATTCCAGTTGGAGGCATTTTATTAGCTATGAATGGTAAATGATCAGCTAAAAATTCTAGATTTTAATATTTCTGATTTTTTGGCCATTTTTTCCTTGTGATTTTTAATTCTGAAATAAGTAATTTTATTTCACATGTACTTGTAGACAAGAGAAAAAAATTATATTTCTAGATTCCCTTTACTTTTTAAGCTAATTGTTCGCCAACGTTTATAAAGAATTTATTAAAACTTTCGGATATTTCTTAACATCCCCGTTTTTATTTTTTATTTATCAATTGTTTTCCACATCAATTTAGAATATTTTTTTTTCTTTCTCTATTTGTTGTTTTGCAATATTCTACTTTACTGTTTTTAATTAGTTTTTTACATTATTTTAAATTTTGTTGTACTGATTTTTGATGTTTTCGTTGTACATCTTACAGTCGCATTCCGTGTCTACTATACAATAAATAATTTCTCATAGAAGTAATCCAAATATTCCCGAAACATACCTCTAAATAATTCTCATTCCTTATTATCCCAACATGAATCACACCGTATTCCCGATAAAACTTCACCGTATCGGCATTTAGAGTTCCAGTTCCATACAGAGCGAGGGGATTGCACTCACCGCGCACTTGAATTTAATAATACTGTACGTCTGTGGTCCGTGCATGGTCCTTGCACATTTACACTTCACATGACTCCCACGTCTCACGGTTGAACAAAATGCGCCAGTCGAAGACCGGACTGGCTGCCGACTGAAACAGCGAAAGCTTTCATGTCCTGGCGATACGATGGCAAAGGCGATGGCGATGGCATGCCGCCCGAGGCTGAAAAGAGATGGACCGACAACTGGGGGATCCAGTCGGGTCTAAATGACAGAGCACCGGTGATCGGAATGGATAATGATGGAGCTGGTATCGATGATGGGTTGTGTCGGTTTCATCACTAGAAAATTGCGTTTCTGGTATTTAATTTTTATGAAGCTTGTATTGGGTTTTAGTATACCTACATATTTTTAAACATTAAATCATTCATAATAAGTGCATCCAACACAATAAACTAGCGGGATTAGTTGGCTGAAGAAACAAGGGTGCGTTTTTGTTAAGTGCTACCAAGTAGGCTAATTTGTAATCTAGCTATTTAGAAAAATAAAAAAATTTGAAGATAATGAAAGACGCTCTGGACCATCAGATCTAGATCTCAGAACCTCATTATATCACGAACAAAAACAGTATGATCTACCTGGACCGTTTGAAATGACAACTCGCATTGGGTCACAAACTCTTTTAAATAAAATCCCATATCGTTACCCAAATTAACAAAACTCCAAAACACCTAACTTTTCATGAACTTAACAAAACATGTTTATAATTTTATGTACGGTTAACCCTAGAACCACAACATGAGATAATTGAAACACTAACCACAACTTGGGGTCGCCGATGGCCCATTTTTGATGCAATTTCTGATATGACATGAAAAATATATACCTATTATAATTTTTTAGATAATTTATATCTAACATCTTGTCGTTAAAAAAAGGTGCTATATTTCTTTTAAGTCTATAAGTATATTTAGCTCTTTCGTTAGGACCAGGTAAATTCAAAACAGTATTTTTTGCAGATGTTCTTGGTCTATTCAAAAATAATGGCTGCGAGAACCACTTGAAACCATTACAGCCAAAAAATCCGGCGCGATCCTCTGTAAGTTTTATGTCCATAGGGTCCTGACTGTCTTCTCTCTCCTGCACTTCTTGCCGTGTATATTCATCTGGTACAGAATCGTGGACTAAGAAACCATCCTCCTCTTCGCTGTCTTCTTCATCTTTATCCTCTTCATCCTGGCCTCGCTTATCTTCACTTAGTTCGTTTCTGTATAGCTCATCCCAGAGTTCATTTTCCCTAAGAGGGCGGATCTTTCATGCAATGCCTGTCGTGTAGCAAGATGTATTTATTTATCACCCATTTTCCTATGATGATAATAATAATAATTAAGACGGGAAAAATGAAAATAAATTTGAGGGTTATTTGCCACATGTAGCCTCAAAAAATTTTCGCTGCATCAGAATAACCCAGTTTTCATTTAAAAAAATTCAATGATTTTTGTTCGTTGGTCTAATGTGTACTGTTCCACTTCAAATTCCCCAAGCCTTCTATACACAATTTTAAAACAAAACAAAAATGCAATATTAAATAAAAAGGTTATAAAGTATATAAACCATAACATTAATTTTGAATCACCTTGTATTTATTTGGCGCCATCTTGTATTTATTTGGAAATAAGTGGAGTTACGAGGTTTGCTAATTATTGTAACGATATACCGATTCTAAAGCGTAACAGATACGAATATATAAATTGGACAACATTATATTAGCGAGTAATGTAATTTTGGATTGTTTTGAGCTAAGAAACTTTAGTCAGCAAAACATGAAAGCAAAGCAAAGAAAACTTGTATTTTGCGCAAGAATTATTTAAAAATTTGGAAACGCTTTCGGCATTATGCAGTGTTTATTGTCAACCGTCAAAAGATTTCCATCGTGTATCCAATCATTAAATATTGAGTGTTTCACCTTGCTAAATAATCATCATTATTTTGTTTAAACATATTTTTGGTTTATTTGTCAAAATTAAGGATTTTAAATCAATTTATATGAGCTATTTTTTATTTAAAACATTTTTCCCTCAATGATGATCAGAGTTCGAGTCACTCAATAAAAGCTCTCGAGAGCCATCTCCTCCTAATTTTATCTTCAATCATCTAAGCCTACCTCTGGAACCACGTTTTGTCTCATTCTAATCATAAACTTTAGTACTAAACGTCAGATTCACCTTTTGGGACTACGGATTATGTTGTGCCATCTTTGGTTCTCTGAAGAACGTTCATCTGAGCCTGGGATGGCACATCAGAATCACATAAGTGTAGTTTTTCTATGGTCTTAATATTTGATTGACTTAATTTTTAATTTCTTAAAATAAAAATATAAAATAAAATTTCAATATTGATCACTCATTAAATAGTTTTTCTTTTCCAAACACAACTAGGATTGAACAACTACACCGCGGTGCCATTCGTGTTTCTTTCCTAGAGCCAAAAATGGGACAACGGGATCTACTCACCTCTAGTCGTTGATTGAGAGAAAAATAATGTCCGCATATAAAATACACATATTTCATTATATTATCATTTAATAGTAAAAACAATCTTTTATTTAAATGCTCTAAAAAAAGATAAATCTAACCCTGAGATCAGTAGCCATGTCGTGGTGAATGATATATGGGTTCGCCATATTGAATTTAAAGTCATTTTATTGTCGTATTCTTTTAAGCAAAGGTACATTGAAAACTTAACTCACGCGGACGAAAATATGGGCTTAGTATGCATCAATGTATTTCTCCTATATACCGATGCTGTATAGAGGTATTTGAAGATTTGAGAACGGTGTCTGGCCTGAATTAGTACATGAAATTGCTGTCTAGGAATCTCGACAGTCAATGTCGTCATGTTCTAGCGGTACAGAACAAAGATGTCTGGGTTTGAATCCCGGCGTTTACAGTCTTTTTTCTCAAATCTCCGAGTATTTGTTTTCACCTTTGAGGTCCGGGGATGGTCTTAATAATTCGTAGGAAGATTTTTGAAATTTGTTTCCGAATTTTCAAAATAATTCTATAATGCGATATATTAAATTCGCAATTTTCAAAAATAAATTCAAACAATAAAATTTATAGATTTAAAACATCAGACAATGTTTATAACACTTTAGCATTTGTGCTTTGCTACTAACAAACAAGCCACTATAATTATTACAAGGTTGGTCCGTGGTGCAGACTAGTAGAAGGTACTTGACTAATTACTTAAATATTCACAAAAACCTAATACTAGTATACGAAAGGCTATATTTGACGTTAAATTACCACTAAAATACTGAGAAAGATTGACTGTATGTTTTCCACGAATCGCTTATTTAGATTCGCTTCTTAGTTAGGTATGCTTTTGGCCATGGCACCTGTTTGGATTTGAACATTTTTCTTTATGTACGTATATCAAATTAACATTGTGCATATAAAATAATGTTTTTATTTGGATAAATGTTTATTTTATATGCAGTTACTATAAACGCTTACTATAAATGCTGACTTGTATTTTTGATTCATTTTCAAAACATTGAACTGGAGATCGAATTTAGATTTTTTTTTAATGTACATTTAAATATAATACTAATTGTTAGTTGTTATTTTATATTGTTTAGTCTGTGATAATATAAATTTAGATGCAAATTCAAAATAAAGCGATTCGTGAATACCATGCTGTATTAATTATAAAACTATCTCTGAATCTAATCATGGTCCTTCGAACCGGATAAAAATAACTTTGAAATTCTATTCATGGTCCTTTAAGCGAGATTCATGAAAACCATCTGACAGTATTAACTATAAAAAATAACTCTAAAATTATAATAAGCCATACCACTGCAATGATTACAATAAAAATAATCAAGATATGTAGGTATGCCATTAATGCGTCGTTATATAAACCATCATCAAAATCAAATTTGTTTTCATTAAGTACCAAAAATTATGTTGGACAAATTTTTATAACCTAACTTATTAAAATAACTGCATTATGTTAAGTTAAACGAATAAAATATTTCATTAGTTATAAAAATTTATTCAAATCTTAATTGTTAATGAAAATATTTCAACGTTATTACAAATTACATACAGTTTTCGTTTCGGTAGAGATTCAGGATAATAAATACTTTGATAATATCCAACGTTTAAGCATTTAGATTTACAAATTCAAGTAATGTTGTAAAATTTCCCACAAGAACATTACAATAGTGGTTAATTTTAATAGCCATTTGCAGTTTTATAGCGTTTGAGACAATATTCTGAAAATACGTGCCACAGATTTTGTCACAAGAAATCTCATACACGTTGTTGTCTGATTTGGCACAATTCTACGTATAATTTTCTCTATATTCTTCCAAATATTCCAGTTTTAATGCCAGTGACCTTTGCAAGATCCGTTATTTAATTGGAATTCCTCAAAATGAAACATTGCAGAATCTCGTTCGCAATAGCAACTGTGCCCAAAGTTCTGAAGTCGCGCCATATTGTCGCGGCAATTATTTTTCAAGACTGCTACGGTCCAGACTGGCACCATTCAACGAAAGGTTGGTGTGATGAGTTTCCTTGAATTCCCTAATAGAGTTAGTAAGTTTTACGGCAAAGAGGGTAGCGAAAGCATATGTCAGAAATAAGAATGATGAGTCACTGTGAGTGATCATTATATGTCACTGAAAGATACAATGACACAATTATAAATACTTATTTCTTTTAAATGTGTGTTTAACTAAAATTCAACAGCAAATACAGGGTGTTAAATAGTAATATTATTAATTATAGTACTCTCCATAACTTGAATACAATAGAATATATGTAGATATTGAAGCAAATTATTATTTAGACTCCTAGAATATACAAAAATATTATTTTGAAAAGATACCAATAATTGAAATTTGATAAATATTTTGAAAATTTATTTTATAGTTTTCTATTTTTATTATTTTATTTTAGAATTTATAGAATTTTATTCTCCGTTTTATTCATGTAGATTTACATTGTATTATTTTTAATTTTAAATTTTATTGATTTACTTATTATTGTGTTGTAATTTTTGTAATATTCTGATATTTATAATAAAAATTAACTGAATTCTTTGTATTTCTTTTACTTACATTTATTATAA